ACATATATATATATATATATATATATATATATATATATATCATACAACATAGATCATCAACAATTTTAATACATCATAATCACACCTTGATGTAAAATGTTTTTTTTTACTAAAAGCTCACGTCCTTTGAACACAAGCTTTCTAATAAATAAAAAAAAATACAAGCTTTTTAAAATCTCAATAATATCTTACTTATGATTTATTCTCTCTATTTTTTTTATTTTAAACAAAAAGAGAAATATATTTCTTATTCTTAAATTTAAGCAAATTTAACTACTTTTGTATTATTTAATGATACTTTTTAAATATCTTTTCTTTAATACATGATCTTTTAATTACACTATTTATTTTAACATTTATAATAAGAACAATTTATAAAGAATCTTATAAAAAATAATTTTTTTTAATATAAATGACTAATTTTATTAATATGCTAAAATCAATTATTTTTGTTTGTAATAGAGAATAGAGGAGGTAGTATATAAAGTTTTGTATTTAAAAATTTTAAAAAATATTTATAACACAATTCAATCTATTGTTATTGCATGTTTTAGGTTTTTAACTTTTAATATAATTTTAAAAATAAAACATGTTAAATTAATCTTATAAATAAATTAATGTCAGAAGAATTTAAATACTAAAAGTAGCAAAGAAAAATCGTGAGATATTTTGGCTTGTTACAGGTTGGTCTCTTTTTTCTTACATGCAAATGCAATGCAAATCGCCAAACAATGATTGCATTCTGATTCTGTTACGGAGCGTACAAGAGAAGAAAAAACAGTTGCAGTCATCGTCCTCACTTGCTCACACACCATGTTTTCTTCTAACACCTTCACCACTCCGCATCCTCCTTGCCTCAGCAGTTTCAGGCCCTCTTCTTCCTCCAAACGTCGCTTCTCCATCAAAACCCTCGCCACCGGCGGAGCAGGAGGGAACACCGGCGGCGGAGGCCGAGGAAACACCAGCACCGGTGGCAGCGGCGAAGGTTCATTCTGGTCGAGGCTTCTCTCTCCTGCAGCATCCGCTCTCTCCGACGAACCGGAACCACGTGAATGGGATTCGCACGGCCTCCCGGCCAACATCGTGGTTCAGCTGAACAAACTGAGCAGCTTCAAGAGGTACAAAATCTCAGAGATCGCATTCTTTGACCTTGTCCGAAAAGCGAACGTTGGAAAGGAGGATTCGTTTTCGGAGATGGTGAGGCTCCGTGCCGGAAGCGTGTATACCAAGGCACAGCTCCAGACGGAGCTGAAAACCCTAGCTTCATGCGGAATGTTCGAGAAAGTCGAAATGGAGGGAAAAACCAAAGCAGACGGGTCAGTAGCCTTGACCGTATCGTTCAAGGAGAAAACGTGGCCGTCAGCGGAACAGTTCCGTTGCATTGCGATAACGGAGAGGTTGGAGGATGATTACCTAAGGAAAGTTGAAAACCCTAGGCCTTGTCTTTTGCCTATGACGGTGCAACGTGATATCGTGGACATGCTTATTCGGAGTCGGGGGACGATGAGTGCCAGGTTGTTGCGGAGGATAAGTCACACTGTCCATAAGTGGTACAACGATGAAGGGTATCTTTGGGCGAATGTGGTTAATTTGGGGAAGCTTGATATGGAAGAGATTGTTTGTGAGGTTGTGGAAGGGGATATTACTAAGTTGAGTATTCAGTTTCTGGATAAGTTTGGCAATGTTGTTGAAGGGAACACTCGGATTCCTGTTGTGCAAAGGCAATTTCCCATGCATGTATGTAGTTGTTTTGTCCCTATACACTTGTGTTTGATTTGTTTTTATTTGGTTAATGAATTTTTGTGTTGGATTGGATTGGATTGATAGTTTCAGCCAGGGTACGTTTATAACAATGAGGTTGGGAAGCAAGTTTTGAGGAACTTGTATTCGCTCGGGTTGTTTTCCAATGTGGAAGTGAAACCGTTGCCTGATGTGGGAGGAGTAGTTGTTGAGGTTAATCTTACAGAGAATGACCACAAAAACGTTGCTCTTGATACTGAGTGGAACATTGTCCCTGAAGGAAGAGAGTTTCCGATTTTGGTATTTTTCCTCTGTTGAATTGGATATATGTGTACCATGGAAATTTAATTGGCTGCTTGATTGATGAATAGTTTATTTTTGCAAATGTTTGCACAGGATTCGGTCCACGTGGGAGGGACTGTTAGATTAAACCATCGGAATTTGCAAGGGATGAATAGATCTTTTCATGCTTCAGTGACAACTAACAACATCTTCAAACCTCAGGTATTCCATGCATGCGTTTTTATAGGAGTAGTTTATTTTCTCATCAATGGTAAGTGTTGGAATTTTGTAAAATTCTGGGGGAATGTCTGTAGGATGACCTTTCATTTAAGTTCGAGTATGAACATCCATATTTGGATGGTGTACATAATCCAAGGGACCGTACTCTCCGTGTGAGCTGTTTCAATAGCAGAAAGGTGAGCCCGGTATTCACTGGGGGAACATGGATAAACAATGTGCCTCCAATATGGGTGGATCGTGCTGGCATTAAAGCCAATATCACAGAGATAGTTTTCCCACAATTCTTGTTTTGGCTGTTAGGAGGTATTAAAGCCAATATCACAGAGGTAGTTTTCCCACAATTCTTGTCGTGGTTATTTGGGCTGTTGGGAGGTATTTTACTCTTAAATTTTATTTTTTTTATCTTGTTTGCCAAGCAGAATTTCACACGCCAGAGTAAATTCACTTATGGATTAGTCATGGAAGAGATAACAACGCGTGATGAGAGGCGTGATATCCGTGCCAATGGTCTAAGAGTTTTGCCTAGAGGAAGATTTAGTGCAGGAGGACTACCAACCACCCTCAGTGGTACTGGTACCGACAGGATGGTAGTTTTACAAACAAATATTACTTGTGATAGCACAATGTCTGTGAATGGAACTATAGTTGGTAACAGGAGTGTGTTCCAGGTGACTCTCATCTTACAGTCATTTTTGTTGATGTTGTTATATTTGGAAGATACTCTCAGCATCTTTCGTTTTGGTAAATATAAATTATAGATTTTAGTATCTACCAAAAAAACATACATACATAAATTTTAGTGGGGTCTTGTTAATTTATGGAGATACCATAACGGAATTGAATTTTTCAAATGCTTTATTCTTTTAATCATAATTGTCAATAGCGTGCTATAGCGGCAGCATAGTGGTGCATAGCCGCCCCGGATGCTACATAGCATTTCTCTTCACTCAGTACTCATTGTTCTCATTCTTCTCTTTGTTCTATATTCTCTTTTTATTATGTCACCCATCTGAGTATCTGGGTTTTTGTTTCTGGTCATCTACCAACCAAAGATCGAAAACCATTTACTCTTTTTTTTTTCTCTAACTCTTTGATTAGTCATGGTCATGGGCATTCTTTATTTCTACTTTACCGAAAACCTTTTTTTTTTCTTGATTAATGTTTATGAACATTTAAAGTTATTTTGAGTATTTTTAATTATTTGTAATTAGAATGAATTATAGAAGCTATATAAAAAATTTCAAAGTAGAAGTTAACCGCAATGCACTATATATACCACTCTAACGTTTTTCGGCTCAAATGCTAAGCACCATTATCCGGGGTTGATGAATATCCTTTTAATATTGTAGCTTCGAATCTGTATCTCAAATATGAATTCAAATTTTGTTGGGCCTTCAAAAATTTTGACTGGAATTGTACCCAATCGAAAATATTTATAACAAATGTTGTACCTAATTTTGTTTTTCTAGTTTAGAAACTGGTCAACATTGTTGTAACTTTGAGAACAAGAAATTTACGTTTTCTTAATATATGATCTTGAAGTATGCCATGTTAAGTTATATGTTGACAGTTACTCTATACAAACTGCAGATAGATCAGGCCATTGGCATTAGCACCCAGTTATCGTTCTCTAATCGTCACCAGTTAACTATGACTCAATTTATCCAGTTGAGGTCTACGGAGGAAGGGGCTGGTAAACCACCACCACCGGTGCTTGTCCTTCATGGCCACTATGGTGGTTGTGTAGGTGACCTTCCAAGTTATGATGCTTTTACCCTTGGGGGCCCTTATTCTGTAAGGGGTTTCAGAATGGGTGAGATTGGAGCAGCACGGAACATCCTTGAGGTAATAAGACTATGCATTTTATTGAAATATGATACCATTTTATACATTATCCACTAAATGTACGTAGAACTATCTGAGTTCTTGTTCTTTCTGCAGCTAGCAGCTGAGTTATGGATACCCATCAAAGGACAATACGTGTATGTATTTGCAGAACACGGCAATGATCTGGGAAGTTCAAAGGGTGTCCAAGGGAATCGTACGCAAGTCTATAGGCCGATGGGTCATGGGTCGTCTTATGGTGTTGGGATCAAGCTTGGTATAGTGAGAGCAGAATATGCTGTTAATCTTAATTCAGGAACAGATGCAGCGTTTTTGCATTTTGGAGAGAGATTTTGAGGAGCATATTTTGTCCTCACCAAAATGCAAAAATGTTGCACCTGTTCCTGAATTATGATTGACAGCATATCTTGCTCAAACTTATCCCAACATCATAAGACGACACATGACCATTAGCCTATAGACTTGCGTAGGATTCCCTTTCACATCCTCTGAACTTCCGTCGACTAGATAAAGAAAAAGGTCATCATACACCGAATATTATTCTTTTTTGTTTGCAAAATAAATCTTTCAGCCAGAGACGTTGATAATATTGCAAGTAGTTTCATAAATGCTTAAACCTAATTGTTTAATTTCTCACGGATAAAAGGAAACGAGTGAACTGGGTATGGGTTAAATAAGAATTCTCCAGGTTGGGGTATGTTTGTGCGAGATGCCCCTTGTATATACATGAGATGCAAATTCCCGCTCCACAATAAATTATTAGATGATACGAAACATCGTGATAATTCTTTTACGTAAATTAAAAAACTTGAATATGTACTACCTAAAGACCAGGAATATGGATGTTAGTGAGTGATTACCAAATAATTTCTTCCATCCCACTCCAACTGAGAGAACCTACAACATCCAATTTAAGAAAATGGAACTTCTCTTTCAAACGAATCATATGGGGAAAAAAAGTTAAAATGCCAGAGCATTTAATGTTTTCTGTCTGTTGTCCAGTCCCTCTTTTATTCAATGGTTCTGAAAATGAGAATCCATACATTCAGAATTACACCATATAATAGAACATATAACTTATGAATCAGAAAACTAGCTAAGGCAGACTAGAAGAAATATGCCAGAATTCTCATCATACAATTAAGTGACAAATCAGATGTGTGCCAAGAAGTTTGTAAATGATCCCTAAAATTATCTTAGTTGCCCATCCCATTTGCAAAGGTATATATTTTTCAGGTCAATTTAAGGTTTGATGTATATATTTTTTCATCTACGAAATTTAAAATTTATATTTTTAATCTCTAAAATATAAAAAAAAAACATATATTTTGATATTTCAAATTAAAATTTATTATTTTAATTCTCATAATTTTAAAAATATTAATTTAATCTTTATTATTATAACCGATAGTAACAAACTAAAAAACATTAAAATAATATTTGAGGAATTAAAATAATGTTTTTAAAAAAAATTATAGGACTAAAAATATAAAAAAGAAATTTGTGCGTGGACATAGTTTAACTCCAAGCAGTGTTCTAAAATTAATAATTAAAGATTAATTTATACTTTTGACATATAACTTTTATTAATGGAACATTATTTTAACATGAAAAAAAAAAAACTTAAGATGTCGACCTTAAATTTGAGAAACAAAATAATATATACGTCACATTACAATGAGATTATGAATACTATTTTATCTTTTAACACAAATCTGCATACAAAAAGAATATAAAACACAAGGGAATTTAATATTGAATTTATAAATAAAAAAAATGAAATAAACCGTGGCAATTTTTGCAATTATAAAATCTAAAACACTATTAAAATTAAATTTTAACTATCAAGCGATTTTAAATTGTTAGTGTACATATAGTTACAATACCCAAAATAAATGTATTACTAGTAATAATTTTTAGAATCTATTGGTCGAATATGAAATGGTAATAAAGCAATCAAACAGTAATGAGAAGAAGGTGCGGTTTTATTTTTGAAAACTAATAACCCAGTAGCTATTTCAAGTAGCTGAGTTAATGCTATGCATGGGCTACTCAGAAGCAGAATTCCCAAGAGCAACGGCATCATCAACCGTCGATTTTTCCGATCAGAACCCGAATCCTATGCTCAACTCATCAATATATACGCTCGCGATCGAGCGTTTCACCTTGGCAAGAAGCTTCACGCCCACCTAATCACCAACGGCTTTGCTCGTTTCAACCTCATTGCTTCCAACCTCGTGTCCCTTTACGCATGCTGTGGCCAACTCTCCCACGCGCGGAAACTGTTCGACAAAATTCCCACAACAAATGTTCGCCGCTGGATCGCCCTCATTGCCACGTGCGCTCGATGTGGCTTCTACCATCATGCTCTTGCCGTGTTTTCTGAGATGAGATCCGAACAAGGGCTTACACCCAATTACGCGTTCGTCATCCCAAGCGTTCTCAAAGCTTGCGGCCACGTAGGGGATCAAATCACCGGAGAGAAAATTCATGGCTTCATTTTGAAGTGTTCGTTTGAACTTGATTCTTTTGTGTCCAGTTCCTTAATTGTAATGTACTCCAAGTGCGCGAAAGTTGAGGATGCACGCAAGGTGTTTGATGGGATGTCTGTGAAAGACACGGTGGCTCTAAATGCTATTATTGCTGGGTACGTTCAACAGGGTGCTGCTAATGAGGCGCTTGGTTTGGTGAAAAGTATGAAGTTGATGGGTTTGAAGCCAAATGTGGTGACATGGAACTCTTTGATATCCGGTTTTTCGCAGAAAGGTGACCAAGGAATGGTGTCTGAGATTTTTGGGTTGATGATTGCAGATGGGGTGGAACCCGATGTGGTTTCATGGACTTCTGTTATATCTGGTTTTGTACAGAATTTTCGTAATAAGGAAGCATTTGATACGTTTAAGCAAATGTTGAGTCATGGGTTCTGCCCAACATCGGCTACTATCAGCACCCTTTTGCCTGCTTGTGCCACTGCAGCAAGAGTTAGGGTTGGGAGAGAGATTCATGGCTATGCTTTGGTGACTGGGGTGGAGGAAGATATATATGTAAGGAGTGCTCTTGTTGACATGTATGCAAAATGTGGGTTCATTTCTGAAGCGACGAGTTTGTTTAGTAGGATGGCAGAGAAGAACACTGTTACATGGAACTCTATCATTTTTGGTTTTGCAAATCATGGGTATTGCAAAGAAGCTATTGAGCTCTTCAATCAGATGGAGAAGGAAGGGGCAGCCAAGCTGGATCATTTAACTTTCACGGCAGCTCTCACTGCATGCAGTCATGATGGAGATATTGAACTTGGGCAGAGGCTGTTCAAGATTATGCAAGAAAAATACGGTATTGAGCCAAGACTGGAGCATTATGCGTGCATGGTGGATCTCCTTGGTCGAGCAGGGAAACTTGTTGAAGCATATGGCATGATCAAGACGATGCCTGTTGAACCTGATTTGTATGTGTGGGGTGCATTACTAGCTGCTTGTAGAAATCATGGGCATGTGGAGCTTGCAGAAGTGGCTGCTATGCATTTGATGGAATTAGAGCCCGAGAGTGCTGCAAACCGTCTTCTGTTGTCTAGCGTATATGCCGATGCTGGCAAATGGGGAAAGGTTGAGAGGATCAAGAAAAGGATAAAGAAGGGAAAACTCAGAAAACTTCAAGGTTTGAGTTGGATAGATAATTTATAATATTATAGGTTGGTAAGGGGCCTTGGGTTTGGCTTCTTCATTAAGAACAGAATGACACATCCAACGAATTAATTTTGGATGTATCGATTGGTGCTCCTCGTGAGGCGACAGCTCCATAAGATGCACCATTGGACCTAAACAATATCTTGTCAATATGCCTTCATCCTTTTTTGATACAGTGGAATAGATGAAAGGAAAGGGAGAGGAATAGCACCATTTCATTGTCTGGATAATATATTTTATAATGGATTAGATAGTTCCATACATATCAAATTCGAGGTTAAGAAAGAAGGCATTGAATGAATGGAAGTATCATTCCATTCCATCCCTTGAGCAATGTTTGGATTGATAAAAAAAAAAGGATGGAAAAGAAAGAAATGAAATTAAACGATACAAGATATTTTTCTTTTGACTGTTAAAAATATGATATGATTTTTTTATAATTAATATTAATTATTAATTATTATGTTAATAAGAGAATTCGAATCATCTTTAAATTACTAGAGCACCTTATAACTCCAAAATATAATATGATATGATGTAACGGAATAGAATTTCATTTTATTAATTAATTTTTCTTCTTATCTTCCAATTTGGGAAGTATGGATGGAGATAGTCATTTTTTCTGTTCTATTATAAAAATATTCATATATGAAATAACAACTTTATTGTAACTTTTTTATATAATTTTGTCTTGTTTCATTTCATTTATCACTAAGAACAAATTCTTAATTATATATTCTCATTTTAAACAAGAAAAATTTTAATAATATAATTTAACAATCTTATCAATAAGTTTGTTTTTTTTAATGATTGTATTATTTTTAGAATTATAGACGAATAATAATTTGCTTGTGAGTATGTTCAAATGCAATCCAATTCAATTACGATTTAATAAGTTATTTGATTAGGTTGAGAATATTTTAACTCGTCTAATTATAATTGAGTTTTGGTTAATGAATTTCTAATCCAACTTGACCTAATCTAAAATAAATAATAATAAATGCTAATTATAGTTAAGACATGCATTGACTATATAATTTATAGTAATATTAGTTGAGGCCATAGTTTTAAGAACTAGCTCACACCAGATTAGCTTGGTGGTGCAATCAATCCAAGTTTCTCACTAGGTTGGACGTGCCACTAATTGATGTAATTCGACTAATTTACTAAACAAATCAATGAACTAAACGTTCGCTGATTGAGTTAAATTTTAGCAAAACAATAACAAAATGGCTGGAGGTAGAATTCAAACCATGGTACTATTGGTTGAGGACCATTTGCTTGATCACTAAGCCTCTCAATTTTATGTTCATATATTTGACAAACATAATATATACTTAAATTATATTATATTTTATTCATTTCAATTCTTGCAGCTTATTATCTCTTTCGAGTCATCTAATGGTCTGCGTTTTAAAATTATGCTTAAAACATATATTAATTGTATAATTTATATTAGTGTTCATCATATAATTTTTTTTCTAATTTTTTCAAAATTTTAGAATTATTAATATTTTAATAAATTGGTCTAATTTCCCAATTCAATTTGATTAAATTCGAGTTAGGATAGATTATTTGATAATAATAAAAAAAAAGCATCAATCCAACTTAATTTGATTATATTTTATTAGACTGGATCTTAAATAATGTTAAACTTGATCTATATACACTCTACTTATTATTATCATATAGAATATTTGTAAAATACCAAATAATATGAAATTTTTTGTTTATTTAATAACCTTACCTTATTTGGTGAGATTGTATATATTGCACTTAAAAAAATTAGTGAATAAAAAATATGTTGATGGCACTTTATTTCAAACTAGCTCAAAAATCAACTTCTTGACTCAATGGTTGTAGGATATAACTTACTACAGAGGAGGTTGACACGATGTTTATAAGATCAAGTTCCATAATATTAAAATAATATTTGACTAATCAAAAATCATGTTTTATAAATACAAATTAATTTTTTATTATCAATTTTTAAAATCATGTCCATGAATTAAAAAAAAATTAACTCAAAACAAACTCGCCAAGGTTGCATAGGCCGCACATGTCAAAAGTTCTTCAAATGCATTTGAATATCACATACTTGCAACGAAGCGAACCAGCACGCAGAAAGTTTTGTTCTTGAAAATATACAACGAATAATTTGCTTCATTCTTCACCAAGTTTTATTTTCAAGCGAAAAGGACTTGTGGTCCATTTTTTATATCTAAAGAATTGTTCCGGGAACCTAAAACTTTACTCTGTTTTCTCAAGGAAACCTAATCCACTAAAGGCAATTGCGCCTTTGTTAATGATTCCACAACACCCATTCTTCTTTTTTATTTATTTAAAGGGAAATGTTGGTATTGGGTGCCTTTTCTTTTAATCCATTCAAGTTTCCTTTAATTGACCTCCAACCAGGTTTCTTTGTGCTTTGAATCTTTTAGTAACTTTTTATCATTTACGTTTAAGAAATTCAATTCACAAAGCAGTTTAAGGAATGTACTACACATTTAAACAAACCTTGTCCACTCCACAAGAGAATGGATTCAATATACAGTGATAAGTTGGACAAGAGGGAGGGAAGACTCTCAGTATCGATCTTTCCCCAAGCTCCTATTTATTTTGATCAAAATGTATTTGTACCTTTCTCGTTAGAGTGAATATTCTCAACAAGTAAACCGTTGCCGTTTGTTCATTATCACCAAAAAAAAAAAAGATTGCCAAGTCCAGATGAATTTGTTTCTCACAAGTAAAAGGGGACAAGTGAATTGTGTCATGGGTTAAACAAGAATTCACCGGGTTAGGGTAGGTGTGTGTGTTGCGCCTTTATATATACAAGATACAAATCCTCGTTCCATTCTCACTGACATTTCTTTAACATGAGGACCTACAGCACCCAATTTAAGAAAATGGAACATCTAATTCAAACGAAATAATGAGAAAGAGCTTTAAGATATAGAAAAACATTTAATCCAGAGCATGGTATAAATGTTTGCTGTCTGTTGTCAGTCTCTTTTATTCAATGGTTCTGAAAAAGAGAGTTAACTCATTCAGGATTACACAATATAATAGAATAGAACCTATAATTTATAAATCAGAGAACTAGTTAAGAATTTACTTTAGAATCAGCTGTCTAGACAGACCAGAAGAAATATACCAGAATTCTTGTCATACAATTAGGTGACACTGACAGGAATTAGAGATGTGTGCCAAGATGTTTGTAAATCTGCCCACAGGGTACACACAACTTACTCAGATTGTAATCTAGCTCCATATAGTCTTCTTCATATACTTCCTCCAGACTCGTGTGAATTCCAGGGTAATCATCAATAATACAGTTACTTCCCTTCTCAGAATGTCTCTACCAATAATCAAGTGTTTGAATCTACAAAAGACAATACATTACTATCTTTTTCACAGGCCATAAAAGCAAATCCGATGGCATTAAAAGTACAATCAATCAGCAACAATAACTTATAATGGCGAAGAATCTAGGCAATGACAACATAAATTCAATTGAAGATCCAAACATCTAACCTACTAAAGGAAAAAGAAAGTATCCCACAAAGATCCAATGAACTATATTTTCAACATTAGACACCAAGCATTACTACCCTCAATAATCACTGTAAACAACATAAAGCTAGTTGATCATTTCACACATGGGATTTAGATAGACAACTTGAGAGCCATCAAGTGGAGAGATTATCAGATTATTCGAGGTATTAGTAATTTTAGAAAATGTAATAATTTCTCTACCAGGAATCCACCAATCAATAATTTCCTTTAAAGTCAAAGGATCTGTCTGAATACAAGCTTAAACAAAATATTTTGAATAGAGAAAGAGAGATTTAAACTAGTATTCAATGGCATAAAGAAAAAGAAGCTAGGTGATCCTGATCCTACTTAACGAAGATGGCATAGAGAAAAGAGAGGATGCAATTGGTGAGTGGTGACCTTAGAGGCTGATCATTTATCATTAGGAGCAAGATGAGGCCAATCCCTGTGGTGCAACATGTTATAAGGATGGTAAGCGGAGGTGGCGGAGGAAGTGGGGAGGGGGATGCCCATGTGGGGATGGGGCATGCCGAGGACAGGCATGGACATCATGGGAGGGGGATAGGGCATGGGAATGGGAAGAGGGAGATGGCCATGGGAATGGGAAGAGGGAGGAGCAGAGTCATGCAAACTCTGAGGCACAGGCGTCGAAGCGAACAACTGATCG